GTTGCAATGTGATGGATTTTATGTCCATCATATACTCCACCTTGAAGGTCCATAAGTTACATTAGCGCATGAAAGTCTTTGAAGGTCTTGCTATAAAGATCCTCTTTAACTGAGTTTTCCATATGTATCTGACCACAACCCTTTCCTGGAGAACACTTATACAGAACATTTAGGCAGTGCTGAATTAGGCGCTTCAGTTAGGTGGTCAGTCAATGTCCTATCTCTGCTAAGTTTTCGGGAATGTTGAAAATAGCTTAGATACTGCATTAGTTCCTTCAATGGCTTTTAGGTGTCAAGAGCCCCAGGTTGGGAAATCCTGATAGAGAGGTACAGAAAGTGCCTAGACCAGAAAGACCTTTCTGAGGAGGTGAGGCCTGCACTGAGACTTGAATGACAAGAAGCAGCAAGCCATGAGTAGGTCTGGGGGAAGAGCATTCCAGGAAGATGTGACAGCAAATGCAAAGGTCCTGAGGCAGGACCCAGCTAGGCACTCTTATGACAAGGCCATTCCTGGAGAGCTGAGGTCAGAGGCCACAGGGCTGGGGAGGAGACCTCTGGACATAGTGTCCCAGAGTAGGCGGAACAAAGCAGCCTTGCTCAGTGGAGTATCAGGGCAAAGGCAGACAGCTGTGAAACCTCTGTTCTATCTCCACCTGCAGGGCATCTGAGGAGGCCTTTGTGAAGGAATCCAAGGAGGAGACCCCAGGCACAGAGTGGGAGAAGGTGGCCCAGCTGTGTGACTTCAACCCCAAGAGCAGCAAGCAGTGCAAAGATGTGTCCCGCCTGCGCTCAGTGCTCATGTCCCTAAAGCAGACGCCGCTGTCCCGCTAGGTGCCTCCCATAAGCATGGCCACAAAGCATGGGCTGGGCCCGGGCAGAGGAGGAGCAGCTGCTTTGGCCAGGGTGGAAATCTCCTCCAGCAGCTGCTATGCACAGCCTATTCCGTTCCTCCCCATCTTCCGGGGCTGGGAAGGGGCATCCTCACCCTTTTTGCCCCTTACTCCCTCCCGGCCCTGTGGTCCAGCCCCTCCCACCTCCTCAGTCCACTCAATTGTGACTGTCCATCCTGATGTATTTTTTTCTTGGCTTAAAGGGTGTGTTGTTAACTCTTTTTACAAGTATTTATTATCATTCTCATTTTCTCTGGAAGCCACAACTGGTGTCAGGGCTCAGTTTCTGCCTAGCACTTTCCCAGCTTCATGGCCTTGAGAGAAGGTGAGGATGTTCCCCTGGAAACCCAGGAACTAGGCAGAAGTGGGAGCCCCAACTTGTCTATGCCTGCTGCCTCCATCTGCAGGAGGAGACAGCCTCTCACAGAACACTTTTGCAACCTTGATCCTTTCTGATCCTTTTTTTTTTTTTTGGTGGCTGGCTGGTATGAGGATCCAAACCCTTGATCTTTCTGACCCTTTTATTATTTTTTTAAAAAGATGACCAGTAAGGGGATCTTAACCCTTGTCTTGGTGTCATCAGCACCACACTCTCCCAAGTGAGCCACAGGCCAGCCCTTTTCTGACCCTTTAACAAGGCTGTGAGGTAGGGATTCTGTGTGTGTACATATATGTATGTATGTGTGTATGTGTGTGTGTGTATATGCAGAGAGAAAGAGTCCCCAGGCGCGCGTGCGCACGCGTGCACACACACGCACGCACACACACACACACATGAGAGAAAGAGTGCACCTATGACACCAAGTCTCCTGGAAGAGAAGTGGCTTGCGGTGGGAGGGAAGAGGCAAGACCAGAGCTTCCTGGTGGCGGCTTCCTGGTAAGAAGGCTTCCTCTAAGCCTGGGTGGGAGGTTGGTGAAGGCAACCTCTGCTAGACTCCCTTCCTTGGGGTTGGCCAGGCCCCTCTGGATGTGGAAGGCCCACTGCTCTGCGTATTTCACTCTGTCCTTTAGCTGTGCCCCTTTGTGGATTTGGGATAAACCACCACTAACTACACCTTCTCCTTCAGCAAAGGCTGCAAATAGGTTATATTCAAGCCATTGTGACCTGCATGGTATTTAAAAAGATTTGAGTAATTGCCAACTATATAAGTTTCCTTGGGCTGCCATAAACTGGCTGGCTTAGAACAGAAATTTATTGTTTCACAGTCTGGAGGCCTGAAGTCCAAAATCAGGGTGTCAGCAGGGCCATGCTCCCTCTGAAGGAGCTCGGAAAGGATCTGTTCCATGCCTGTCCCCTAGCTTCTGGTAGCCTCGGATGTTCCTTATCTTGCAGATGCATCACTACAATCCTGCCTCTGTGATCACATGGCTGTCTTCTCATCATCTGCCCTCTGTGTGCTCAAATTTCCCCTTTTTATAAGGACACCAGACATATTAGATAAGGGCCCACCCTAGTGACCTCATTTTAACTTGGTTACCTCTGTAAAGTGCCTATTTCCAAATAAGGTCACATTCTAAGGAGCTAGAGGTGAGAACTCCAACTTATCTTTTGTGGGGGACACCATAACACCAACACTTACAAACAGTGACTATATGAGTCTGTTTCCGTTGCTTATAACAGAATACCTGAAACCGGGCAATTTATAAAGAAATTAAATTTATTTCTTACAGTTTCAGAGGTTGGGAAGTCCAAAATCTAGGAAACACATCTGGTGAGGGCCTTGTTCTTGGTGGTGACTCTCCATAGCAACACAGGGTATCACACTGTGAAAATGGGTTGAGCAAGAGAGCTAATTTGTTCACTAGCTCTCCTTATAAAGCCATCAGAACCACATCCATGACCACCCACTAAACTATCAACCATTACTCCATGAATGGATCAGTCATGATCTAATCACCTCTAAAGCCCTACCTTTCAATTACCATAATAGGATTTCCCACCCTCTTAACACTGTTAAATAGATTAAATTTCCAATACATGAACTTTTGGGGGACACACTTAACCCACGGCAGTGGCCATCCTCTTTAAAAGTACTACTCCATATCCTTTCCTTGTATCTTGAGGCCAAGGGTCACCACAACGCACTGCTCTATGTTTGTAATCTCTGCCTCACAGCTGAGAGACCATGGTGGAAGCAAGAAACCTAGCTGGCTCTAGTCCTATATCTCTCCACTCAGGAATCTAGACTCTGACAGGGGGCTCAGGAAGGGGTGTGTCTTCTTCACTCCCTCTTTTCCCTTCTGCCAACCTGAAGCTAGTGTTGAAAATGGTGGAGTTACAGGGCAGGCCCGTGGCCACTTGGGAGAGTGTGGTGCTGATAACACCAAGGCCACGGGTTTGGATCCTATATAGGGATGGCTGGTTAGCTCACTTGGGAGAGCGTGGTGCTGACAACACCAAGTGAAGGGTTAAGATCCCCTTACCGGTCATATTTAAAAAAAAAAAAAAAGAAAAGAAAATAGTGGAGTTACACATGGGAGGAGCCTGGGTACCCAAATCAACACTTGAGGAGAGCTGACCACAGACCATGAATATCTGTTTGAGACGTTACATGAATGAAGAACTCACAGGTCACCTCTCTTCTAGCATTTGCTCAGGACCCCAGCCTCTTCTTCCAAAATCCTAAAACACTAAATACACAAACTGCTGGAGAGCTCTGGGACTATGCTTTTACCACTACCTTAGGCTGCTTCTCTGAGTCTCAGTTTCCTGTCCTGTAATATGCGTCAAGAGCCAAGATGGTCTAGGTCAGGAGCTGACAGTGGGGTGAGAAACGGATGCAAAGTACAAGTGAATTAGAGTTTATTAAGTAGGGAATGAAGAGGATGTGGCACAAATAGAAGTATGCAGCAATCAAACTGAACCGAATCTGGGATTTCTGAAAAAAATCTGTCGGTTACAGTTACACAATCGGCCACTTACTCCTCTAACGACACAGGGCCCTGTCAGGGGAGAGGAGGGAATGAGCCTCGTGGCAGGGTCAGTGGTTACTCCTGGGTCTTGGAACGATCTCCCCGGAGCTCAGGGTCGAGACTTCATGGCAGACACAGCTATACCCACCAAGATGGCTGCTATAGTGAAGCCCTGGGAGGCAATCCGGATGCGCATCATGAGCTGGGAGCGCTGGCTTTGGCCCCGGTGGAAGCAATAGAGGCCGTAGGTGAGGGCGGCCGCCGTGCCCAGGCAACCTGAGGAGAGGACAAAGCAGCTGGGGAGCAGCAGGTCAGGCACCGCTCGTGCCTCCCTGCTTCGGGACTTCCTTCCCCCCAGGCCCAATACCTATGGACAGTAGCGAGGAGAAGGCGAGGGGTTGGGGGAGGCGACATCCTCCTCGTTCCAGACCCCGCCCCACGCCCGCCCTCCAATCTCCCACAAGCCCAGCTGCTGCTCCTGCTCCAATCAGTTTCACCGCCTCACAACGCCCGCCCCTTCGCCACATCGCTGGTCCACTCTCATTCCAGGACCCCCTGGCGTCCCGGGGCCTCCCCTATTTCATTGCCCCCGACATCACTGTCCTCTCCGTCTATAGTTCCTACAGCACCCGCTTACCTATTGGTACCACTGGGTTCTCACGGGTCTTGCGAAGAAACTTTTCCTTGAAGCCTTCTGGATTTCTGTAGACACTGGGGCTAAAGCCCTCAACGACTGGAGGCTGCGATGGTTTAAAGGGTATCTCTGGAGTCGCAGGGCCGGGAGTCGCCATGACTTGGACGACAACGCTCTGAGAAAATCAGAATGCGGAGCCCCGCCTCCTGATGAGGTCATCAAAAGGCGGGGGAAATATGCTGAGCGCTGTACGCAGGCGCAAGCGCTCGTTGCATTCTGGGAGTCGTAGTAATCAGCACGGTAGCGAGGCTGATAGGACTACATTTCCCCAAAAGCCTGCAAAGCCATGCGCGCACCGGCCGGAAGAAGTTTTTTTTTTTTTTTTTTTTTTTTTTGTCTTTTTTCGTGTCCGACAACGGATCGCAACCCTCAGTGTCGCGCCATACCGACCGGGTCGGCATCGGGATCGCAACCCTCGGTGTTGCGGCCGCACCTCGCTCAGCCAGTGAGCGGGAACCGGTCTGTATGGGGGATCCGAACCCTCGGCGGGAGCGGCCGCCATGCTCCCAAGCGGCGCACTGTAGCAGTGCGCCACCGGGCTGGCCCCGGAAGAAGTTTTTTACACGAGGTTCTGAGAGTGAGCCGCACGAGTGTGAGCTGCTGTTGTCGTGGTCGGCGCGATGCCTAAGGCCAAGGGCAAGACCCGAAGGCAGAAGTTCGGTTACAATGTCAACCGAAAGCGTCTGAACCGGAATGCTCGACGGAAGGCAGCGCCGAAGATCGAGTGGTGAGGGGGCCGGGGTTCGGGAGGCAGGGCGTCTGGACCCGGACGGCCCTCGAGATGACGGATCCGCAATCTCTCTGTGTTTGTCGGCAGCTCTCATATCCGACATGCCTGGGACCACGCGAAATCTGTGCGGCAAAACCTGGCCGAGATGGGGTTGGCTATGGACCCCAACAAGGCGGTGCCCCTCCGTAAGAGAAAGGTACTGACGTGACAGGGTACCGGCTCTTGCCCCCGCTTCCATCTTCCCGTATTTAGCTGGGTTTCGGAACTTGATCCTGTCCATTACCTCCCTCACGTCTTTCCCATGTTTGCGACCTCCCCACGGTCAGCCTGCTCAGCCTGCACTAACTGTGGTCAGGGGTCCCTTTACGACCTCCTTCACACTCCCTCCCCAGCACACATTTGGACCTGGGTTGGGGCTTTCCCTTTCCTCCTCCACTCAGTTTTTGTACTCTGAAATTAAACTGTTTGGTCCTTTGGCATCGCATGGTATTTTCCAGAATTTACTTTTTCTGTCCTTAACTTTACTAACAAGGACTACCCAGAGTTTGGGATCTTTACTGTTTCTTATACCTTCCCCCAGTCGTTCAGTCATCCTTGGTCTGAGGGTTCCCTAGGTTTAGTTTCTCCCAAATAAGTCTTTTTCTGGACCACTCTTTCAAACTTTCAGAAACATAGCATCCTTCTTTATTCAGTAACCTCTTCCCTGCGTTATTTTAACTCATAGCACTTGTAAGTACATATAGCATACTGTATGTTTATTCATTTGCTTACCTGTTTATTTTTTGTGCCTCTTCCCCCCAACATAATCTCCTTGATGACAGGACTTTGTGTTTTGTTTTCTACTAAATCCCCAGCGTGTTTTGGATGTGACAAGTGCACAATAAATAGTTAACCTAGTGAATGGGCTTGCTGAATGAATTTGTCCCATTGCCGTTAGGCAAGTTTCTTTTTATTCCTTTGTAGCTCTACTGTTTCTTGAACAAATGTGAAGCTATAGCCAGTGCCAGGTAGCTCCTCCCCAAAGAGAAGATACCCAACCTGTCCTCCTCATTGTAAATCATAAGACACTTTCATGTGCATTGTTTTACTCAATTATCACAAAACAAGTGAGGAAAGCAAGGAATGTTATACCTATTTTATAGAAAGGCACAGAAAAATGAATTGCTTGCTTGTGTTTCCTTTTTTTTCTTTTTGGCAGCTGGCTTGTGCAGGGATCCGAACCCTTGACCTTGGTGTTACAACACCGCACTGAGTTAACTGACTAGCCTCTTCCTTGGGTTTCTTTTGGGAACCATGGATTCTAGTTGTTGAATCCTCCAGGGTGATGGTTCTCCTTGCTACCTCGTTCTTTCTGACCTTGGGTAGGGATTCTTATGGGTAATGTAGTTGTGTTGGGATGGGCAGGAGCCTCTAGAACTTTCCCTTATCAGCGATCCTTCCTCTGTCTACTGGTCTCACAGGCTGTGTTTCTGCAGGTGAAGGCTGTGGACGTGGATGTAGAGGAAAGGCCTAAGGAGCTGGTGCGGAAGCCCTATGTGCTAAATGGTAGGTGTGGGCCATATTCCTGTAGGTCACCATCCTGCACTGTCAGAACTGGAAAAGTCCCTCAGAAGTCCCCATTTTACAAATGGAGAAACCAAAGTTGACAGGAGAGAAGTGAGCTGGTCTAGGGTTCACAGAATTGGGACCGTGACCCCTCCTGGGACGTTTCAGTCTACTGACTAAACTGAAGTGTGTGAACTAAGGTCAGAGATGTTCAGGGAGGACGTAGCAAGATGCCTGAAATGATTAGAAAAGAAACCATTAAGTCTCAAGCATGTGTTAGGCTTCTCATGAATTTGAGGATGAACCGATTTTTTTTTTTTAAGGGGATCGCGACCCTTGGCACGGTGTTGTCTGCACCACGCTCAGCCAGTGAGCGCACCGGCCATCCCTATATAGGATCCGAACCCATGGCCTCAGCTTTTTAAGGGGATCGCGACCCTTGGCACGGTGTTGTCTGCACCACGCTCAGCCAGTGAGCGCACCGGCCATCCCTATATAGGATCCGAACCCATGGCCTCAGCGCTACTAGCGCCGCACTCTCCCGAGTGAGCCACAGGGCCGGCCCTCAACCGATTTTTAAAGAGTCCACCATCTCATCTAATCTTTCCAAAGACAAATTGATTTCATGTATTAAAGCTATAGAGATTGAACGTCCAAACAGAAGAGAGTAAACCCTGGCAGGAAAGCAGGAATTCTCTGGAATTCTTCACCCATCCTTCCCATTACCTGTTGGGGATTTTTATCAGCTCTCCTGAAGCTAAAAGGATTTGAATGGCTAGACATTTAATATAGAATTCCTTGAATTCCTGTCTTTAGTTTATCTCAGTACTCATCAGGATTACTGCACAGGACTATATAAAAAGCCATGTGTATTTTAGTCAAAAACAAAAAATTTTTAATTCTAAAAAAATTACATTACATAACATTTACCCCTTTTCTTTTCTTTTTTTTTTTTTTGGTGGCTAGCTGGTAAAGGGATCTGAACCCTTGACCTTTATGTTATCAACATGTGCTCTAACCAACTGAGCTAACCAGCCAGCCCCTTTAAACATTTTTAGTGTACAGTTCAATAATGTAAGTATATTCGCATTGTTGTGCAACAGAGCTCCAAAACTTTTTCATTTTGCAAAACTGAAGCTATACCCATTACACAACAACTCCCCATTTTCCCCAACCTCTAGTCGCTGGCAACCATATCAAAGATAATTGTGATTATAAGCAATGTGAGCACCTAACCCCTGGACAAGATTTGACTACCTCATTTCTATGAGGTAGATATTTTTCTCCCCTCATAGATGAGAAACGAGGGAGTATTTGCCTAGCTATTTTAAAAGTAACACCATTATTAGCTCCACAGCCTGGATTTTTCCCTCACATGGAGCAGTGAGGTGCCTGGGCCCAGCTTCAGGTCGTGGTTCCTCCAGCTCTAGTTCTCATTTATTCAGACTTTTCTATTTCATGTGCTGGTGTAATACTTCAAGAAAAGAGGTTCTCTGAGAGTCTTACAGCTGGAAGGGAGTCCGGCACTGTGGGCAGGCAGTGTATCTTCATCTCTCTATCCCCAGGACCTGGCACTAAGCAGAGTTATTAGTTTGGTGCCTTCCTCTTAAATACATCTGAGGCCTGGAGAGAAGAGATTTACCTTCCAGATAGTTGTGACACTGATAGATGGTTGGGTCACAGGAGGCAGATCCTGGGATCAGGGGCTGAGGAGGAAGGTTCCAGCAATGAATTTTGGAATGGGGAGGCAAAGACCACCAGGTGGTTGGTGCAGCAATTCTTAGGTCCTGGGACTGGGTGAAGGGGTGATTGGACAGCTCAGATAGTGCAGAAGGCAAAGCCTCATTCCCTGTCTCCTGGCATCTCTCACCCCAGACCTGGAAGCAGAAGCCAGCCTCCCAGAAAAGAAAGGAAATACCCTGTCCCGGGACCTCATTGACTATGTACGCTACATGGTGGAGAACCATGGAGAGGACTATAAGGTGAGTGGTTTAAGCCTGACAGGAAGAACCACTTGGGCTGGTTCTTGAAGGCACCCTGGACTGTTCATGGCCTGATGTGCTTGCCTAGTGCCTGTTTCCTGGGGCTGAGTGGAAAGGAAGGGAGGAAAGAGAGACTCTAGGATATAGATCCCGTTGATGGGGATCTAATATGAACAGAGTGCTTACAGCAGGGATAAACTGAGTGGCCTGCGGTTTGTATCCCATTCACAGGTATGTTACTTTGATCGCATGGTATTTTTAAAGAGCTTGAACTAGTTGCCATTTTAATTATGGGAGGATTCAAATAGAAGTCCATATTTTTGGCTGCTTTTAAAAATTGAAAGATCTGCCTACACTGAACTCGTGTGTCCAGGTAGGATTAGTTGGCTACAGATGGAGCATGAGCTCCTCAGCTGGGCCCATCTCCTGCCCAGCTCACTGGACTCTCAGGCCTGCCTGGTCTCTGAGAACATTTGCACCCATTTCCCCAGACCCTCAGTGCAGAAGGGCTCCACATATACCATGGCTTTTTTTTGTGGGGGGTGATGGCTAGCTGGGATGGGTATCCGAACCCTTGACCTTGGTGCTACAACACTGCACCATGGCTTTTGAGGTGAGGAATCTGGACTTCGGGGTCAGGAAATGACTTGTCCAACTCAGGCAGAGCTAGGATTTGAACATTTACCTGTCCAGCCCTCTTCAAATGACCCTTCTCCCTTCTCAGGCCATGGCCCGGGATGAGAAGAATTACTATCAAGATACCCCAAAACAGATTCGGAATAAGATCAACGTCTACAAACGCTTTTACCCAGCAGAGTGGCAAGCTTTCATCGATTCTTTGCAGAAGAATAATATGGAAGTTGAGTGACTTACACCTGACCCAGGTTGAGGCTTCCTCCTGACCATTGAAGCTGGAGTTGGGGTATATGGCAAGGACTGGTGTGTGGCTTCAAAAGAGGCTGGTCAAATCCCATGTAATCAAGCAGTCACACACTCACACACACTCATACACTCCCCTTCTGGGAAAAGAGCTATCTCTTGAGGCTCCAATTCATATTCTGGGGGCTCATGGAAAAGCCAGAACCTATTTTCAGAGTGGGGGGTTTATTTGAACATAGTCTATACATAATAAAACAAGGATATTTTATTTCTCTGATGGTTTTGTATTTACCCCTCCCAACAAGCCCTAGGGCTGCCCCAGGGAAAATCTATCAGGGCAGAGAGGCCATTCAGCCCAGTGGCATGTGCCACATTCACCTGCCCTTGTAGGCACAGCCTCCTTCCTCCTCTGTATTTTTCTCTGCATTGGTTTTCTGCATAGCAGTTGCCTTCTACAGAAACTTGCTGGGACCCATGGTCCCACCTGTAGGCTGGGGGCGGGTAGACTGATTCTCCATGGCCCTAGCCTGAGTCCAGCTGTGGCTTGGCTGCCAGAGGGTAAGGAGGTGAACTCCTGGTCTGCCCTCCAAGTGACCTGCCATCTCTGCTTTTCTTTGGATTGTTTGTGTTGGCCTTGGCCTGAAGTGAATCCAAGGCCCCCCAAACCTGCCTTCTGGGACTGTGGTGGACTACTGAATACCACTCTTGTGTGCCAAGTACAGGGGTACGTATACCTTGGCCATCCTTTGGGGCCAGGCCTGCCTGACTCAGTTGCATGTGAGGTGATGCTTATTACATAGCAGGATCACAGGCAGGGTGTGGGGTAGTCACTAGGCATTTTCTTAAGTCCTGATAATTTATCCCCAACTATTAATAATACAAAAATCCTGTCATTCCCAAGGTTTCTCCTAGAAGCACCTATAATATTTCTCTTCTCACTGCTCTTGAAAAGAAGGGCTTGGCAGGGCCGTCCCATGGCTCACTCGGGAGAGTGCGGTGATGATAACACCAAGACCACGGGTTCAGATCCTATATAGAGATGGCCGGTTTGCTCACTGGCTGAGCGTGGTGCTGACAGCACCAAGCCAAGGGTTAAGATCCCCTTACCGGTCATCTTTTAAAAAAAAAAAAAAAGAAGGGCTTGGTGATTTTACACAGATCATTTAATGTGAAACCCTGTAAGGTGCATGATTTTATCCTCATCTTACAGGTTAAGGAAACAGGCTGGAGAGGTGTCAGAGTGGGATTTGACATAAAGTCTAACAACTAAGCCTTGGCCTTCTGCTTGCTGTCCTTTCCCTTGACCTCTGAAGGCAGCCCATCCACCCATACTATCAAGGAAGGCTGAGAAGTTCCCCTAACCCCCCTTATTGTCCCCAGTCTTAGACTTCAGCAGTGACAGGCCACTGTAAGCACTGAAAGTAGTCTTTAGGATCTAGTATGTAGCAGAGCTTCTGAGGGCCTTATATATGGCCTCATAACTTACATCTTCCTCCACAGGATCCCAAATTCAGGTCTTTGACTAGGCCATCTCCTTACCTTCCTTACCCAGTTAAAGTGCCAACTTTAGGAAGCCTTCTTTGCCGCTATCCCCTTTCCTCAGGACATAATTGTTCTGTAGTCTCCACCCCCCAGACTTCCTGTAGCAATACCTTCCACAACCACAACTGCATTTTAATTTGCTTGACAACCCTGCCAGACTGATCTTGAGTGCAGTGACCTTGCCAGGGAATCCAGAGCCTGGCCCAAGGCAGGTGCTGGGGAATGCTTGTGGAATGGACTACATGGCTCTGTGGCCTCTCTTTTGCCTTCCAGCGTGGAAGCAGAAGACTTCCTTCCATCCTCTAGGCAGAACTCCCAAGGAGTGGGAGAAGGGTTTGGATACCTCCCAATAGGTACTGAGTTAGGCCAAGCTGATGTTCCTTCCCCCCCGCCCCCCTCCCACTTCTACATGGGCTGAAGGGCTAGAGAACTGGACCTTGCTGTTTGACAAGTTATTGCATCATGAGGAGGTGTTCTGGAACCACCCTCCATAGCTGCCTCTCATAGGAACTGTAAGCACTCAGCACACCATCCTCAAAATGAGAATTCAAATGAAACCATATCAGAGCTTTGGCATTTATTGTGTAGCTCAAACAGCCGTTGACACTCCATTTTATGCAGTTTGTCCTTGGCAACCCTGTGGGTCTGGGTTTACATGACATGGGCTGAGAGAGCAAGGCCCCCTTACTTCTAGACCTTGGATGGAAATCCCCGTGACCCTTAATGGGTATATCTTCCAGAGGCAGCAGAGGAAAAGTTGGAGGTTCTCCTTTTCATAGCTAGTAGAAAGGACTTAGTATTCAAAATCACACCCTCTGATGATGTGTGAGCAGATAGCAAATGTGAGAGGGCGGTCTGTTCGGTCTGTTCGGACGACCTCAGGTCTGAGGTCTGGGCAGCCGCTGCATGAGGACAGACACCACAGGCAAGCTTCAGCAGCTGGTTTAAAATGGTGGCAATTCCTCCTAAACTAGCATATGATCAACAAAATGTTTTCCAAAGGTGAGTAAAAATGTTTTTTTGAGAATGTGGTGTTTCATTCAGGGAGACAGGCAAGCACTGTCAGATTTCTTTAGCACCTCTCCATGGAACACTGAGAGGTTGTGACGGACAGACTGACTTCACCTCCTTCCCAGTCCTTCTAGCCGAATACCACTGCATCAGCACAAACTTAAAGCCTGCAGTTCTGAGCACCAAGCGTTACCAGAGGTGGCTTCTTGGGTTGGGCAGTCAGTCCAAGGTGTTGGTCCCAGCAGCATCAAGAGCCATCTTACCCCAACCATCCAAATGTCTACACTCTGGGCTAGCGTGGCTTCTTCCCAAAGGAAGAGCAACAGGAAAAGTGCCAAGTGAATGATCCAGGCACAGGCTTTACTGCTAAGTTAAGTGGAGGTTTCCCTTCCATGTGAAGAGCAAACACTGCATAGCCAGTGCCACTTGCTCTCAGATCTAGAGCCTTCCCTCCAGCTGTCTTCGTTAGAACATGAGAGCTGCCCCGACATTTAACCCTGTGTTCCCAAGCTCAGCTTATGACAGTTATGAGGTTGCAGCAGTGGGGGAAATACAGTTTCACCCAGGTTAGATAAAGGACCTCACTTTGAGATGAGAAGCTTCAGGTAACTGGACTGGTTCCTAAGACCAAGCGATCTGGGCTCCTGAATCAGAAAGTCATATTCAGAAGCAGCCAGGTAAAAGCATAAGGCCAGATAGTTAGGTGATGCTGTTAAGGCCTGTTTGCCCACTTTGCCCAGTCTAGGCATGGTAGAAAACAGAGCAGACGAGCACTGTCTGGCACACTGCCTGGAGGACAGGCCAGCAGCTCCACCAGAGATATGCAGCTGTTGACCAGAAACACAGTGAGGCACACCCATAGACCACTAGAATGCTTATATCCTGTACAAGTATCAGAAGGGGTGGCACCCGGACCTTTAGTGCACTCTGATTGGGTCTGACAATTGACTGGATTCAGTTAAGAGGCCTTGGGTATATACCATTTTGATAATGCGTTTGTCTCAATCCAAGGAATCTGAGACTCCAGCTAATTTTATGTATAAGAATTATAGACCCAGAACTTGTGTATTTTTAGAAAAATGGGTTAACCTTACTAGAAACAACTTAAGAATTTAAATGGCCACGATGTGGAAGTTTTAATTTAGACAAAACTGTTTATTTGTGGGGCACATTAGAAAATAAAAGATCAAAAACCCACAAAAACAATGGGGTGCATTTTTAATTGGCATGCAGAAGCATCTAAAAGATTAAACTAGTCAAAGATTGCCTCCCTAAAAGATTCTTTTTTTATTTTTTAAAGATCTCAATTGACTTTATAGTGGTTCTAGAGTTGGGCAACATGTTATTCCATAAAACAGAGTAAGTGTTCCCCCCAAAAGATTCTTTACAAAAAGCCAATGAAAGGCATAGCAGCACTCTGAGGACATGGCAAAAGAGGACTGCAGCTTTACTGAGCCCCGGCCGCTTTGTCTCTCTAGCCACCTCTACCTCAACACGCTGAGTCCACTAACCTTTTTGCTCAATTACCTTTTCACCTTGAGGATATGCAAAAATGGCAAGTTAGACAAGTGCCTTACAAAGTGAGACCCTCTGATCAACCAGGGCTGCCTCCTGCAACCACTTTCACTCCATTGTCTAGAACTGAGCTTAGAGCCATTACGACAGACTTCCCTAATCCAAGAAAAAGTCCTCAAAAATTCACCAAGGAATCTGGAATCCTAATGGGATCTTACAATCCAGTAATCCCTAACCTTTACCAATTTACCCACATGATATTGGGACCTGGTAAAGCTCAAAAATGAATGGCAACAACAGAATAGAGAGAACCTGAGGAGGATATTAAAGACCCCTCCAAAACCTCAAAAGAAGGGCATAAAAAAGCTAGAATTGCAGAAAATCTTTTAAATTCAATCTCTAAGGTTTTCCACAAAAATCTGATCAATTATACATTCTCACAGACAAAAAAAGATAAATCAGTTTCAGATTGTACAGCTTGTTTAGAAACACTATTTGTGAAACCTACAGGGACAGCAATGGCATTACCTGCTCTCTACATAAATGGACTTAGTTCTCAACTTAGCAGTCTAATTAGGAAACATAAACCAGGATGCAAAGTTACAGATACAGCTGTTCCAGGACTTCCAAATTATACTGAACCCCTCACCTTGTTCATTCCTAAGTATGACAAGCAGGCATTAGGAGTTTTTACCCAATAGCATGGGGGAAAATGTACACATACATTTTATATTATATTTCATATTATAACCTTCAATTAGACTCAATAGCTAAAACATATTCTAATTGTTTAAAGGCACTGGTGGCAGCAGCCAGACCAGTTAGAAGCTTCATCTGAGCTGGTTTTAGGGAATAAACTTTCTTTGCAAGTTCCACATGCTGTAGAAAGTCTATTAAATGAATTTTTAAACAAGTAGACTAACATCATTTGAAATTATTCTTTGGCAGGATATGCTGTTACAACCCAAAATAAAGTTAACTGAAAAGGAGACTCATCTCTAAGTTGGCTCA